TGGATGAAATGGCTTAACGAATCTTATGGTGATTTATTTGAATTATACATTGGAAATAATCGTGCAATCAACATTTGTAACGCGGAATACGTGGAAAAGTTGTTTACTTTTTCATCAAAAGATAACAAGTTTCCACATAGATTTGGTTTTTCCGAAGGACTTGGAGAGTTGGGAAATAATGATATCGGATTATTAGGAAATGCAAATATTGAAAGTTGGAAACTTAGTAGGCATTTTTTTAATTCAATGTTTCTTCCTAGTTTTTCCGAAAGAGCTTATGATGTGATAAACAAGTTATGGAATGAAATGGATAGTAATTGGTTATCTAATTATAACAATTCGAAAAATGAACTTGAAATCGATATGACAGATTGGATTCGTAGATTTTTGGCTAGTGTGATTTTCGAATTAAATCTTGGTATCAAAACGTCCTTGATTCAAGAAGATAAAGAAATTTCCTACATGCATAAAAAATTAATAAGCATGCTTAACATGTATATGTCCTCTTATGGATGGTTTATTTGTAACCCTTATTGGATGAGGCATTATGTTCCATTCAATCGCGCCCATACAAAAAAGCTTTTAGAGAATAGGGACGATTTATTTGACTTTATTTTAAAGATTATCAGTGAACGAAGAAAAGAAATCGAAAATTCTTTGATTAGTCAAGATGGAAAAGCTGAAAAAATGAATGATATGCTTTCGATGATGATAAAGTCTAATACATCTTTGAATACCAATAATTCGACTGATGATGCAAATTCGGAATTAAAACGATCAATGACTGATCGTGAAATCCTTGGAAACGTTTTGGATTCCTTGTTTGGTGGAATTGCTACGGTAATATAAAATTTTAATTTTATAATCAATCAGTAATGTTAATAATGTTAGTAATGTTTTTTAATATTAAATTTATTGAACTATAGACGGGAAGTAGATTTATTCATATGGTTAATGTCTTAGCAAAAAATCCAAGTGTAATTCATCGATTTCGTCAAGAACTTGATTCGGTATTTGGCGATGACCTTGAACGTCCAATCACTGCCCATGATCTTTCAAAGCTTAAATATGGCGAGGCAATACTCAATGAAGTTTTTAGATTTGATCCTATACTTAAAATGGGTGCACGAGTAAATACTGAACCTGAAGAAGTTGCTGGATACATGTGGCCCGAGGGCACCGCATTTCATATAAATATCGAGAGGATACATCTTAATAAATCCCATTGGCAAAATCCTGAAGTGTTTGATCCTGATAGATTTATGAACAATGTCAACATATCAAAAAATGCTTTGATTCAGTTTGGAGGTGGTATGCGAATGTGTAAGTACTTAATTTACTTTTTATAAGTCTTGTAAATCTTTGTCATACGTATTGTCATATAACAATTTATATCTATTAATTTGCATTGTCTATAGGTCCTGGAAGGAAATTTGCTTCCATTATTGTTAAAGGAATGATGACAATGTTATATAGAAAATACGACGTTGAATTAGTGCGTGAAAATGATATAACTTACTATAGAGATTATTTATTCGCTTATTATCATAATTTTAATACAAGACTCAGACTCAGAAATATTAAAGCTTCTTAAATTCTATATTGTCATATCAAATCTATATAGGTTTAGTTATTTTTTTAAATCATATATTAATTATCTTTTATTTTATTTTACTATGTGGTAGTTCAGTCGTAATTTATATCGTTCAATCATTATCATCTATTTATTATTCGAAGAGTAGCATAGCAGTAGATATTTTATTTTTCTAAATCATGTAACATCTGTTAAAAATACAAATAAAATTGATCATTCAGGTATCAGGAACAATTCTTATGGCATTTATGAATTCTTAATATTTATTGATCTTAGAATTTATACTAGGGTTATATGTTGACAATATATAGTAAAATCGTTCAAGGAGATTTTTTTATTAGAGCATTAAAGATGATTTTTTATGTAGATTTTTGGAAAATAACAAAACAGATGTTTGTTCTGATCGTGTTATATTTGTTCTTGAAATCTGCAATTGCGTCACAAATATGGCACAAAATTCATACGTTAAAAAGGTATAAATTGTAACGGAATAGATACTACGCTAAACTACCAAAACTAATATATCTAAACCTTAATATTGTCAAGGCTTCGATTAAGACGTGAAAAGACTCGGTCCGAGTAATTAGGGTGTATAAGACCTGCCATGCTAATTTTGGGTGTTATCTATCTTTTAAGCATTATATTTCTGTACTCTTGTTTTCTTGTACTAATACGTTATCTTATTTTCTTCTCTACAAGACCTCGGCTAAACAATTAAAATCAGTCTAGTAAATCCAAATATTATCAAAAAACTTTTTACAAATTTTTATATAAACAATAATATTATTTATACAGTTAAAGCTTGACATACCGAATTTTTATATTACGAATTTGTCCTATAACGAATTATTTAATTAATTTTAATTTTTTATAAATAGAATAATTAAATATAACGAATTTTTTATAATAAGTCTTACTATAATGAATAGCGAACTGAAAGTATATTATGTATATGACAAAATATATTTGATTTTATCGAATTTTTTTATTATGCCGAATTTAATATAGAAAAATTTAGGTCACATGATATAAAAATAACTGATTGGCTATTGACTTAGATAAATTTTAAAGCACTATGTGACATTCTCATTTATTTGCTGATATATATTCATTTACACTACACAACACAATAAGTGACATTAACTAGTTGTATGTAACTGATTATTGGAACTAAATTAAAATTAAATTATACAAGATACGGCGTAATAATAAATTCTATAGACTCGATTAGCTTCTTTAAATAGACCAGTGTTGTTGCTAGACCAGTCCAGCGAATATCACGGGAACTGGAAGGATTATTGGAACTAACTGGATGAAACCGGAAGATATTTAGATTCCAGTGATAAGTTGTCACTAGACCCTTCAAGTCATATTTTTTTTACCACTGGATGGAAGCTCAAGTAAGGTCCTATGGGGTCCTGTGAAATTTAATAAGTCAAAAAAGCATAAAGATAAGATAAAAAACTTTTTTTTATTTATGTAATACGGTACAGATTTGTCACGCATGAAGTTATTTTTGATATTTAAAATTTTATTTAAACGCATATACATAATCTATTTAAACTGTAATTGTGCAATCCTGTAATCAAAAACATCAGACCGAATATAATATATGCAAACTAAGATTGTAATGCGCAACAATTTTTTTCGTATTTAAGAATGACTAAATTATCCTTCATTTCGGTTTAAACGAATGCTATAAATAGCAAGATTGTTGACATATTACCATACGGTGGACGATCATTCGCAGAGAATGTATGGAGTGAACAATTATTTCCAGATCTTTTTTTGTTCTGTTTGATCAACAACAATGGGCTCTATATGATTATCTCTTCTAATTAGCAGTTTTAGCTTAGCATTAGATCTAAAAGTTTACAAATTTACTGGACATCATGCACAAATAATTTTCTTTATAGTGCTTTTCAAATTACTGTGATCAGCAAATTTCATGTATCACACCGGGATTCAGGAATCTGAAAAAAATGCCAGTATGTGATTGGCTAAAAAATAAATCAAATAATTTTTAACCAATCATATATTGGCATTTTTTCCTGATTCCAGATTCCCGGTGTGATACATGAAATTTGCTGATCATAGTAATTTGAAAAGCACGATAATTACATACAATTAGTTTTACGATAAATATGTAAATCCCAGGTCTATTCTAGGAATGTCTTTTCTAGTTTCATATTGATAGAAATCTCTAACATAAGATAAATATTCTATCAGTATTTCTATTTTTGACCAATTTCTATCAATTGAATTTGTATTATTTCGGAAAGGAATAAAGGTTTTGAAAGTCTATTATTAATACACATTAATTTTCAAATTTTAAAATGGATAACGGATTAGTACAGTTACAAAATTGGTAAGTTACCGATAGGTTTAAATTCAATATAGTTTTATAATGCTTTATGATTTAACTGATTTAAAAGTTAATGAACTTGAAATCATCTGTACAAGTAAAATGCTTTTTCAAGAAAGTCTTAGAAATCAAAACGAAAAATCATCTTTGTGTAGCCTTAGTAATTTAAGTACTGTTGAATTTTTAAAACTTTGAGCGGAGTTTTTCTGATCGAATTCGATAAAAATTTTATGAGACTCGGCCAATCAAATCAATGATGGGTATAATATATGTGGCACAGATTTTCTAAGCTACAAATCAGATTTTTGTATGTTGTCACAAATCGCAAAAACCTGAATAAAAAATCTTTAAAGCTCTAACGAAAAGTTTTCCTTGAGCAAATTTGCTAGATAATCTGCTAGCATCCAACCTTAACATAAATGCTGGCCCTAACATCAATGAACTTTTCTTTATTGCCAATCTGCGCACAAACACCAATTATACAATTTGATTGGCTGATTTCCGACCATTTATAATGTGATCTTTCAAATCCGATAACCTCCCAAAACCGATACAGAACCCGTCTATCTTGAATACCGGTTTTGAGAGGGTCAACGGTATATGGGCTAGGTGCTGATAAAAGGGACGGAAATTGACTATTTTTTCAAAAGACTTTTTTTTTTTTTACATAAATCGATTTAGAATAAGATTAGAATCATTTTTCACTTAAGACATAAAAGTAGTTGTATTAATAAAGTTTTGTGGTATAGCTTTTAAAGTTTGCATTTTCTTATGATTTATTATAAGACTTACTACATAATTGATTTTCCGAAGATCCTTTTTTTTTGTCCCTTTTCTCATTTTACATGTTTATATATAATTTTATCGTTATATCGACGGGTGCCGGTCAAAATCCCGACAAGCACAATCCCGACAGGTCATAATCCCGACAAAAAAATCCGACAATCAAAAATCCCGACAATTAAAAATCTTGACAATCGGGTAGAAATCCCAAATATGGGATATGTTTAAAGTGAAGTAGACTCTTATAATTTAATTAACTTTAGGGTTAGGTCACTTTAGATGATCGTTAGGCTTGGGTTAGCTATGGTTTATGATATTTTTTTTTATCAAAATTTTTAATTGTCGGGATGTCGGGATGTCGGGTCGGGATTTCGCTTGTCGGGATTTTGACCCAAACCCTGATCGACTTTAAAAAGCCTTATATTTGACTTGTTTCTTAAACAATTGAGTATCGTTTAGCTTATTATTTTGATAATCTATTGCTTATTTATTTTTCTTTATGTCTCTGTTTCTATCTCGATATATATATATTTATACAGATACGGCTTCATACACATAGTCTTCTAATCTTTTCTTACCTCTCCCAGTTCATTATTAAATTATCTGCTCTTCCGAACCTAATAGTAAAATAAGTAACTCTTTTTACTGGTTGCAACAAAATTTACACCAATTACTCGCTTTACAAACTTTATTTTATTTAGCATAATGCTGCTATATTTTGGTTTTTATGTTGTGACTTTTCTCTTAAATTCTGTTTCTGCTTTTGCTCCAGACAATAATAGCATTGGTTATTCCTCAGTCCTTATTAATAGGACATTATATTTTATGGGTGGATCTATTAATAACGGTTCTGAGGTTACGCATGAATTCTTTAATTTAGATGTTACTAAATCATTTGACACGACTAATTATACAACAATGCCATGGAATGACCTTAGTTGGACTACTAATAGTATTTTAGGTGTTTGGGGTGCCGCCTGTAGTGGTGGAATAAATAATGATTTAATTTTTTATTTTGGTCATAATTTTTCCAAAATATATGATACAGGAAGAGAAGTATGGGAGGATTTAATCTTACCTGGAGCTATGATAAAAGATAGATGTTCG